TACATTTGATATTTAACTTATATATGTGTTGAATTATGTGATTAATTTTATGAGGTAAAATTATTATGATAGACATAGTTTCACATATAAAATTATATGTGAGAGAACATGGTGTTGTATCCATTTGCATTACTAAAATTAAAAACATAAATTTTGCCAACACTCTGGAGTGGTAAGACACAATATCTAACCCAGAGGAAACCGACAGATTCATTGTTAGAAGTAAAATTAATATGGCATAAAAGAACATAGATTAAAAGTGAAATGTTACAGAAGACAAAATTAACCAAACACTAAATAAAGTGAGTGAAACTTTTATGATATTCAGAATGTAGTCTTGTCTAAGCCATGATAAAAATTAGAGGGCTCTTAAAGTGAAATATGCAAACCATCTTCTATTAGGAAGCTAGAAAAGTTTTCATTGATTTAGAGGTAGTTTGTGTTTATTCCTGTTTAAAGTAAACACAGAGATTGAAGAGAAGATGGAAAAGGCCACAGAACCATACTGACAGGAAAATAACAACCGGTGTCATGGGACATCAGAGGATCATAGACTTGCAAATGCCATTGTTCTGCAGGCGAGGAAACCAAAGCCCAATCAGAAAGGTCAAATGTGAAGCAGTCATCCCAGATGGAAAGAGATGCTATGGCCCTCATGCACCCTTCATTGGAAAGCACTTTGGGGGCAGGCACAGCAGCAGGTGCCTGTGACAAAGACTGATACAGGATGACTGCTTGAGACCAGCTTCAGGAGTCTGGAAGTTGACTGGGAAACACATTGACACCTTCTCAGAGGCAGTGAGAAAGAAAATGAAAATAGCTTCAGGGGCAGTGGTAGCTCAATGGTAAGGCACATCCCTTAGTGAGTGTTGAACCCAAGCACAAGGTTCAGTCTCCAACATCTGAAAAATAATAACAGCTTGGTTTACATATTTTTCCCAAAGTAAGATCTGATAGTTTCATCTCAGGAGGTTTTTATATTCAAAGGAGACACAGAAAAAAGCTTTGGAAAGCAGCGTAAATCTGAAAATAATAGTCTCTGTTTTTGTGGTTGTTTCCCAGGTTGTGTGTGAGAATTGAATGACATATGGAACATGCATGCTAGGAACACAGAGAATAGAATGGCAGTTAGATATAATTTATAGGGTAGTGGAGGCAGGCAAGTAGGGAGAGGCACCAGCTGGTAGACACAATGGGTCAGTGAATTTCTGAGGTTCTGTTGTCAGGGCTGGTGCGCTGGGGTGAGCCTGAGTCACTGGCTTACTCTGAAAGCTTCTGTGACCCTCTGAATACTATTCACAATGCTTCAGCTACTCAAGAATTAATGTCTTTAACCAGGAAGCATGCAGAACATTCTGCCAAGGGTGAATGAAGACATTTTACCACAGCAAACAATGTTAAGTTGTGAGGAAATCGAATCAACAGGGCACTCTCACCCTGGTCCCACTCTTCACTTTGAGAAGAAGGTGTTGGGTTTCAGCCTGCCTTTTATTGTGGGATCTGTAATCAACACTGGATTTCTTATAATAGAAAGTTCTTGATTAGGAAAGAAGACATTTTGAAATCTGAGTCTTCTGACCTCTCTCCACGATTTACTCCAGACTCCCGTTGAAAAGGAAAGTCCTATGTAAGTCAGGGGCATGAGATTGCTTAAGTAAATGGTGTCCTACTAGTGACTCGGACACAGAATTTAAACTTGGCTATAGGATTACAAGATGGCAGGTCTCAGTCTAGCTTTAATCATAGATATGAATTTTTCTATCAGAGTCATGTTAAAGTTCTCCCTCTATCATAAACCTCACACATGGAGTAGCTAATTAAAACACTGATTACGTTAAGTAGAAAGCATGATATTACAAAAAGAGTAGGTACATTTTTTGTTGTTGTCGTTGTTTGTCCTTGTGATGGCTGTTCAGGGTTCTGAACTTGACATACCCATGAAGAGAGAACCTCATCTGAACAATATAATCTCCTTCAGATTGACCTATTGGTCTGCCTGCCGGGGGTTTTCTTCATTGCCAATTGATGGAAGAGGGCCTACCTTACAGTGGATAATGCCACCCTGGGTAAATGCTCTTGGGTTGTATAAAGAAGCTAGCTGAGCAGGAGCAGTGAGTCAGGAAAGAGCAATCTTCCTTGGTGTTTGCTTCAGTTCCTGCCTCCAGCTTTCTGCTCAAGTTTTTGCCATGGTTTCCTTCAATGATGGAATGTGATGTGGAGGTATAAACCAAATAAACCCTTCCTTCTGCAAGTTGCTTTGGGTTAGTGCTTTATCTCAGTAAAAGCAAAGGAAAGTAGAACAGTATCCAAACTCAAAGCAGTCTTGCCTTAATGCTTATTGCTCCTGTGAACCAGTAACAAACTTTGAATTGTTAGAGTATTAGCAGGGTAAAGTCATTCAGCAGAGGAGACATCTGGGATCACCACTGGAATTGCCCTGTCCCTAATATTTTTATTTAAATTTGCCTTAAAAATATTTATAGTTCAATGTCAGTAAGATATAAAATGTGGACATGAACATCAGTGCCAACACAGTGCATATTACAGAATGCCTGTTATTTGTAGGTCTAATTCTCAGTAGAGAAAAAGAATGAAACCTGCAAATCCAGGCCTTAGAAGGCAAAAGATGTGCTATCATTCATCTAATAAACATGAAAGTGCTTTTTTATTATTCATTTTCTTTTGGTGGTTGAAAACCCAACCCCAAGAAGATCTGTGAATATCCTTATTTTATTTAGATATACTGAGGTCTTTACACAAACTGTCTCATTTACTCATCATGAAGCCATAACTTACGGATATATTATTTTGGTTTTTATAAAGGAAGAATTCAAGTTCAAACAACTTTAGCAGTCATTATAGTCCCTTTTTACTTTTGTAAAAATGGACATTATTTTTGTTCAGAAAAGAGGGAAGTATGTGTGTATGCTTAAAATATTCCTATAACTATCTATCTGAAGAAAACTCTCAGATTAAATATATTTGCTGCCCATGTTTAAAATACTTCTAATATAGTCCATCCACTTATTCTTCAGAAGCCAAACATATTCATTTGAGAGGATACTTGGCCTCCAGATGGTGAAATAAATTTAATTTGCAGATGGAGAATCCTGGGGCTTGCAAAAATTGCCGTGAGTCTTACAAGAAAGTTCTAGTCATAAGGACCTCTTGGACCTGAAAGTTTATCACTTCACTGTAGTCTCAGCCACTGACTTATGAAACGTGGCATTTTACATTAAAGAGGATTCTGTGGGCCAGTTTCTCAAAGCTCTCTGATTTTCTACCAAATCATTCAGAAGATATTAACCATGAGAATTCTTGCTGCTTCAGATGACAATACAACAAGACTATCAAGGGGAAACACTGTAGACACTGTGTTCTAAATAAGTAATGACCAATGGAAAAGAGATGTGAAGCAAAAAGAAGACAACTCTACATACAATAACACATTCTATATATGTGCAGCATGTATACATGGATGCATGTTTGGCACACAATCCCCAAAACTTCATTTATACATTTATACATTTTTTCTGTTAGCTGACTTGTGGAAAACAAATAATTGACTCATTTAAATATAGTAAACCACTCCAGTGTGTAATAACAGGGCTCAATGACAATGGCATAAAAATAAAGATGGGTGTGCTTGTTCTTGGGAGCTTTCAGTATATTATGAAAAGATATTTGAACAATATCATGGTGAAAAACAAGAGATACAGTGTCTTGATTCCAGAGGAGGTATGTCATGGGAGGCCTTCTGGAGGAGGTAACATCTATCTGGTCCAAGTCTTGAAAAGCAAGCAGTTGTTGATTAAAAGGAAATAGAAGAGGTGGGGATTCCACCAGGATCCACTATGGATAAACCTAGTCCTAGGAGTGGTGTGTGCAAGATGGGATGGTTGCAACACAAAGAAAAGTTCCACTCTTTCACTTTCTGTGTTTTTAGTTAACCGTGGTCAAATGAAGTCCTAAAGTATTACATGGAAATTTACAGAAATTAACAACTCCTTAGTTAACAACTCTATAGATAATTTTTAATGTGGTATGTTATTATAATTGTTCTATTTTACTATTAACTATTATTGTTGATCTATTAGTATAATTAGAATTAAAACACAGATTATGTGTGTATACATATGAAAATCATTTCACAATAGAGCTTTCTACATCTAGCTGCCTATATCATCTATCATCCAGCTATCTGCCTGTCTACACACATTTGGAGCTTCCCAAAACCCACTGAGTATTTTGAGTCATATCTCCTGCAGATAGGAGGATGGTTTCCAGACAGTGATTTGAACTAAAAGGTAATGTGGAGAGGATCTTGTAGGGCTGACTAGGTTTTACTTTCAGTCACAAAGAGCCTTTGAAGGTGTAAGACAGGGTGACAAGGCCAAGTCTGTATCTTAGTAGATGGTTTTTGTAGCTATTTGGTGAGTGTATTTCTTTGGGCAACACCAGAGGTTGGGCCACTTTTAATGGCTCTTAGAGTGACACATACAAGGAAGGCAAGGAATTTACCTCTGTGGCCTGGTGCTTGGGACTGGATAGTGTCAGAAGGTATAAGCAGTATCTAGGAGACACAATGTCTAGACTTCTGTAGTTGACTGAAGAGGTAAGGATCAGGTACGCTCAGACTTTGGCTTGGGCATCTGGGGAAGATGTGGGCATGAGGAAGTCATCAATGTGAAATGGATATTGTGACTAGAACTGGGTAAGGTGAAGGCCTGGCTGGTATAACTGTGCTGAGGTTTTATCTTTGAAGACTCAGGTGATACAATTGGGTCTTGTCAACTTACAGATGTGTACAAGTGAACATACAGCTTCCCCCTGTGAACCCCACTGTGCCGCCCCCTCTATGTTTTCTCACACAACATAGATTTATACCTATAAAAAATGAACATTAACAACATACCTCGTTGTAGCTGTTGAATGACCCAGTAGGACAGGCAGAGCTGTGGGAGACCCGTGAATAACCAAATGCTGTTGCTTTCTTCCAGCCATCATGGAGATGCCTGCTACAGAGCAATCCTTCTTCACCTGACCTCCTCCTTAAGGACCCTGGCTCTGTGATTCCGTCCAGGTCAAAATGGCAGAAAAGGCTCTCCCTGGCTTGAACAGGAAGACATCTAGGTCGACACTTTCTCTTCCTCCAGAACCTGTGGACATTATCCGAAGCAAAACGTGCTCTCGGAGAGTTAAGATCAATGTGGGGGGCCTTAACCACGAAGTCCTGTGGAGAACCCTGGATAGGCTACCCAGGACACGCTTGGGGAAGCTTCGAGACTGTAATACGCACGAAAGCCTCCTGGAGGTGTGCGATGACTACAATCTTAACGAGAATGAGTATTTCTTTGACCGACATCCTGGAGCTTTCACATCTATCCTCAACTTCTACCGGACAGGGAAGCTGCACATGATGGAAGAAATGTGTGCGCTGTCTTTTGGTCAAGAGCTTGATTACTGGGGCATCGATGAGATCTACCTGGAGTCCTGCTGCCAAGCCAGGTACCACCAGAAGAAAGAGCAGATGAACGAAGAACTGAGGCGGGAGGCAGAGACCATGCGTGAGCGCGAAGGAGAGGAGTTCGACAACACCTGCTGCCCGGAGAAAAGGAAGAAGCTTTGGGATTTGCTGGAGAAACCTAACTCATCAGTGGCTGCAAAGGTATGAAAACCATGGTCTTAGGTCACCTGTGTAGTCAGAAATGACGTGGCTCTCACATACGACTCAGTGTCACTTTCTTCATTGCTCTGGTAAAACAACATGGTTACACAGATAACAGAAAAGTCTTTCTCAGCATCGTATGTAGGCAGATGTAGTTGTTTTCCCTGTGGGATGTCATAAAATGGTGTTAGTCCTTGGTAAATGTTGCTGCTTGTAGCGACAGGCCAGGACCATGTGATAGAGTTCTGATTTCCCTGGCGTGTTAGATGGTGTGGTGGCTTGGAGGTAGAGGACAAAGTCTAAACTGAGACCCCCAGTCACAGAGTCTTGTAGACCTGGATGTGAGCTTCATCTTTGCTCAAGAAGGTGCCTTATTAGAAGTAGCAAAAGTGACTCCTGACCTGGTTCAGGGAAAGAGAAGACAGCAGGGACCAGAGGACTCAGGAGTCATGCACATGAGATGGGAACCATTTTAAGAAGCTGTGTAAGGCATGGGCCACTTTTTCACCATACATGTGTACTGTGAGGACTTCTCAAATAGAGATGTTTTTAACTATCGATGCATGTTTCTTTTATAAAAGAGGAATATTATCATGTCTCAAAGCTTATAAAGTGTTTGTTTAAAATGAAGGCAAGTTTATGTTTTTCATTGTGCCTGTATATACAACAAATCTGAATTAGTTTCCTGTCACCAGTTTTTGATAATAATGCATGATTTTATTTGTCTAATTTTATCTAGAGTGAGTGAAAACTGACTTCCATGCCACATATTTAATTCTATACTGTATTATGAATGATACAAAAAACACCAAGTTGCCTTTAGTGGCAGGAGCATAGATAGCATCAATGGTTCGTTCCTGAAGATGATGTAGAGTGGAACAGAGAGAGGAAATGGCATCATATAAATCTTTTGGATTACTTTTTGATTTTCGGATTTCTTCTCTCTATAAACACTAATGGCAACAGAAATAAAATAGAACACATGAGCATTTTGACCAGAAATGAACATTCTTCAGGATGATCTGCAGAATAAACAATAAAAGTAGCTGATGCGGATGATGAGAACATTGATTCTTACAGGGTTTGATTACCTGAATTGGATTCTGATTGACTTCTAAAAGGATTTTATTCTCAATGAGATGTGCACCTTAAATTTAAAAAAGTCTTTCCTTTATACACTATGAGGAAATGTATCTTTTTGGCGAATAGATGATCTTGCTAGTTTCTTCTTTCCTTTTTTTGTGACGAATTCTTGGTTTGTTCTTGCTTGTTCTATATGTAGAAGTAGATATGTCAGCTGTGTGGAATTTTGTAGGGAAAGTTTATTGTTTTCCCTTGTGCTGAATGATCATTTACGTATATGAGTTCCTACTGAAAATATTGGATGGATATTGAAAGTGAATGAAATAAACCCTACATTCTGTATTGTGGGAGTAAAAATTAACTTTTAAAAAGACTTTCAGCAACAGAGGAACAAGTTATGGTTACATAAAAAGTTCAAAAAGGAGTTTAGCCAATTATGTAAAATTAAACAGGCAAATCAAGAAGACTTGAAATTAATATGATTAATTTGATTATAACATTATTTATATACATCTAGAGTGCTAGTGAAAAATATTTCATATATTTATATATATGTATATATATATTGAAGAAGGTAATGCTATAACAGGGTCAGTAACATGTTTTCCAGACAAGGAAGGACATTTGACTTCCAAAGTATAGAAGCAACAGCTATCTGTTTATTTCTAGGAAGACAATAGTTTTTTTGTAATATACCATTATTACCCTATATATCAACAATTACTTAAGCTTGCTTTGTATAGGTATGTGCTTGTAGCCATACGTAAAAGCTAGTCACACTGTCCTTCAAATTTTTATGTTGTTATAGATAGTAAATTTGTCTCCACATAATAAATGAAATGAATGATTCTGCTACCTTAAGGACAGTCACAAAGCATTTACATTTATTTCAATGCCCACATTTTTCTCTCTGTTTCAACAGTGAAATATCATGGAAATGTTTATGTCTGCTTCAATAGTATAGTGAAAGTGTTCCTCTTTTGTCTGAACTTCAACTCTTTTTAAAGCCAGCTCTTCATAATGCTCAATGTAAACGGATGTCTTCTTCAACATGCTTCAAAAGCAACAAAACTTGTTATTTTCCTAGAGTGATCTGGGGGGGAGGAGAGGGCACATTCATGTGTGTGTGAAAAGTATTTTGTGTAACTTAAGAACAAGTAGTTGTATTACTGCAGTGGGAAGACACTCCAGTCCTTACTATGTATTTATGTTCTGGGTACATCAGGCTTCTTCATGTGCATGAAACTCATGTGGAAATTGCTAGAATTTCTCTGAGGCACAGCAGGCAGAAATCTGTGAACCGGATGTCTGTTTACCTTCCTTTCCAATCACTGCTGCTTTTGGCAGTTGAACTCATGTTCCATATCCCCTATACCTTTAGATCAGAGACTTGTGAAAGTGTCCCTTCTTCACAGAATTTGAAATCTGTCCTTTAACCTCAGGAATTTCATGCCATTGGAAATACTTGGGTTTTCGTCCTATGATTTTTCTGTATTTTCTGATTTATCTATAGTATTTCTGTAATAAAGTGCATCTGGGTGTTGGGTTACATGGCTTTAATCCTAGCACTTAGAATGAAGAGGTGGGAAGACCGCTGGTAGTTAAAATCAATCTAGGATGCTTACCTAGTTCCTGGGCACCTCACATTATGTACTGAGACCTTGTCTCAGAAATCAAAAACAGACAAAAGGAGTGTATTAAGACAGTTTTCCATTCCAACCACATTCCTAGTATGGAAAGAAAAGATTTTTTGTAAGACAACTTATAAGTTAAATATCTACTCACTGGTATTGAATGCATATTCAATCATTGAATAGCAATTGCTTAGCCATGTTACATGTTTCGATGTTGATCCATGTGCTCACTACTGACCTGCTCCACTTTATGTTTGGATACGGTCCTGTCAGTAAGAATTGACCCTTAGAGAACAGGTTCTCCAGTATCATGTAAAGAGCTATTTTGCCAAATAACTTTCAGGTATATTAGAACAATAACAACAAAGACAGACCAGGGTGTAAGAACACAGTCTATTTGAAACTTCAGTAGTTAACAAATTAGCTTCTGTGTTCATGAATAGAATATAATGAGCTATGATCATACTTTTCATAAAATATGAGAGGACTGGTAGAAATGGTGTCTCTGGGTTTCAGGCATGTTTCAGTGGTAGGCATTTGTCCAATATGTGCAAAGGTTTAATTTTAGCACCACAGCCCAAGGGAAATGTCTTTACCAGTTCATAGTGGTATGATATGACCTATGATTTGGTATTGTAGCATAAGTTAATTTTTGCAAGATGTATTTGTCTTCTGTCAATCCTGTCAGTGTATTTTGGTATCTGTATTCACCCTCATGTAAATATACTGTCCTGATTTTAAATTATGGGCTGTTTGTGAATGTTGGATCCTACAGCATGGGCCTGGATACTGACTGGGACACCTCTCTGATTACATGTGACATAGGATTACTGGCTCTACTATGTTTTCATAGGACTGAGGAAGGTCAAGGGCCAGGATTAACTCAATGTCAGTTTCCTGGGCAGTATCTTGGAATTAGATTTGAGCCTCAGTTTCCTGGGCAGTATCTTGGAATTAGATTTGAGCCTGTATCTCTTCCAGATTGGAACAATTTAGTCTGTTTCTAGATTTGAAACATTTTTCTCTCTTTATTTGGCCTTTTCCAAGGGAGCTATAATAACCATTTCCTATAAATATCACTGACAGGGACTTCAATATAAGGGATGTTTGGAAGATCTGAGGAAAATAGATCCTGTCCTCTGTAGTATCATCAGGCTTGAGGTGGAGAACAGAGGCACACAGCTGCCTACATTCTGAAGTAGACTAACTCACTGAATACCACACAAAGCCACACTTTGGATATCTAAAGACAGCTGTAGACTAAGGCCTTTAGCTCATTGTCTAGCATACCCAGAGACAACAGGATAGGCTCAGCTTGAACATAGATGGAGATGTGTGTAGAACAGTGCCTGACAGAAGGCTGATTTCAGGCTGACGTAGCATATGGAACCAGGACTCCAAGAAACCCTCTCCTGATAAGAGCAGGGCACATAAATACACTTCTGTTCATAGAAGCAGACAGTGAGAGCCATGCAGCAGCCTTGTCAGACATGGCACAGAGTCAGGACTGGACACTAGATTCTGTCTGCTTCCTCTGCAGTCCCCTTATTTGCCATGACTATCCTACCTCATACACTTTCCCCACTATTCCTGAGTTTCTCTTCCTTCTCCTTTACACCCTTCTCACTCTTCAAGTCCTGGACTCTACTCCTTCTGGCCCTCCTCCTTATCTTCTTGCTCTTTCTTCACCTTGTTCCTCCTCCTGTGTCTCTGTCCTTCACATGCAGCTTCGTTTACCTGAATGACTCTTCATCTTAACCCTCACCTCACCCGTCTCCTTTTCCTCCCCTATTCTTCTTCCTCTTGCCACCTCTCACATACTCATTTCTCCAATCTTTCATCCCTGGGAAATGACTCTATGGCGTAAGGGAAGTGGGGGTGACTAACCAGAACAATGCTTCTTCAACAAGTTTGTGTTAATAGCCACCTAAAAAGGAAGAAACCAAATAACCAAGAACAAGATGGAATAACATTTTTCCCAGATAGAGTAGAGCTTGAGAAATGCTACAAATGTCCATGTCCAACCTTCCCCATGAGAACTAGTTTTTCTCTCCTTGCAGGTGTTATTGTTTCCATTGATGTTGCAGGGATCAAGGAAAAGGAGATAAGCCTATGCCCCATCTTTGAGTCCCTCTCCATACTCTACATGACCATCATGGATAGCATGGCCCAGCACAGCACCTAAAGCAAGCATGGGCCTCCTACCCACTGGAGATCCAGGCTCAATGTCAGGATCTTCCCACTGTTGGGCTTCTCTGGGTGCAATAATTGCTTTAAAACCAC